ATTTGGTTAACATTGTATTCTGGCTGACTAGATTAGTCTAACATTTTGTAGTTTATATTTGCATTGTTAACAATGTGTGCTGCTGGTATTTGAAGAACATTTGCTTCTGTTCTTTCACTTTAGCTTCATGAGAACATTTTTTTACACTGTGCCAGACATTCATTGCTTTTCTTACAAATACAAATCATTTCTGGACACAGCTGCTTTTTGAGTTTTCTTTTTCCATGATCCCCTTCCCTCTGAGCAAGCATACTGAAGTTTTTGGTAAGTATGTGGATATTGACAATCTCCACCTTAGAAATTGTGTTTGAGTAGTCTCTTGCCTGGTGTTTCTGGCATGCTGGCCTGGGGTTAACCTGTAAGTGCCTTTTTGGATCATGATCATTCTTATCCTCTGTAGGTCTGACCAGATTAATCTCTAGCCCATAGCCAAGCCTATCTTGGCTTGTTTATGCAATCTGCAACACGCCAGGACTCGATTGCAGCATTTGTGACTTACACAAAAACGTGCCAGCAAACTCTTTTAGGCACAGGAATCGCATTTTCAGAAGTTTCTTTATTGTTGGGTCTTTTGTGGGTAACATAGTTATCCTCTGAGTTTGAATATTTAAAAATAGGAAAAATAATATGTGCTTATACCCTTTCAGCAATTAATAGTATTTGTAGGAGAAACTATATTTGATAAGATCATAAGTATTAATTATGCAAGTCAAAGTTATCATTCTCTTTATAGCCAGACCTTGTCAGAACGTAAGAGTCATGACATGCTGTTGAGTACTGTGCCACAATGTCTGAAAAATAGCTCAGCATCATAGTGGATGGATGTGTTATAATAAAAATCTCTCCCCCTTTAGGCCAGGCAGCTCCAGGCAGATGGATCATACACTAAGGGGAGGAAAGGCAGTTAATATGGTTGGGACCGGGCTGGTTAACATTATGGAACTCCAGATCATCTCTTATTTAGGTGAAGAATCCAAGATGGCTCTCAAGGTGGTATCCTAGATTATTGTTTAAAGACCCCTTTTTCAGAAGCAAATTGAACATTGAGTGATACCACTGTGTACAGGCACTGAATAGTTGACCTTACTGTTACCTCACTGTTTAAACTGACTTTCTCAGAATCACTAGAATATATTGTTAAACCCATAACTACATCCAAGTTTGTGCATATATAAACGGTCTATAAACTGTCCCCTCCCTGCTCCCTTTCATTTGAGTCTGAAGGGAAATAGTCAGGAAGCATTTTGCTGCAGTACAAGCCAGTCGTGTGTGTTCCAAAGTGAAAGATCTGCTTGTGGCTGCTTTTTGCTAAATGACTGAGCTAATGATGAAATGCAGCTGGTATGAGCTAACTTTCTGACTGCAGGCACTTTGCAGGCGCAACTTTTGAGTCAAACCCTTGTCCTGAGAGAACCTAGATCCAGTAGCTCTCAAATGAAGAACACTTCTATGCGTGTTCTATCTTAACCATGTACTCAAATGCACCCTACCTGCAGGTGTGGCTTTTCACACCTGTACTACTTGCGCCCCATCTGTGCCTGTTTTTATTTATTTTTGTTTGTTTAACATGTTACAGAAACTTTCGTAAATAAACTCTTTTAAACTGAAGCATGTAAGAGTCATTCTCACTGATACAAGAACATACTTTCTTGCAAAAATGGCATCCTATTAATGTGACACAAAGTCCAATTTGACAAGTATTTTAAGGTTTAGTTTTCACACTCATACATAGAGACAAGATACACAGGTCTTAGTGGGAAAAGACATAAAATTTCGTAAACACCTAGAAGACTGTTTCAGCATAGCTATGCAATATTATTAATTTTTTTTATTTGCCTTACGTCACTCTAAAAGTGTGGTGGAAGTTCAGAATGGAGATGGGAAGTAAGAATTATGCAAATATTACAACAATTAAGTGCAGTTGCAAATTGTAATTATTTTTCAGTTTCTTCAAAGAAACAGCATATAATTTTTTATTTGAATGAATCTCTTTCTAAATTTAACACATCTCTTTTTAGCGATTTATTTCATCCCGTTGCATTACTTTAGTATGGTGACTTTTTTAAAAACAAAGAAGCACACAGTTGTAAGCCATTTAGCATCTAGCAATGCTATTGGAACTGCTGTTATAGTTTCCATTCAGCCAAAGTAGCTATACTTTTTTTTTGTACTGTCTGGAAGCCTATTTACCACTCCCCATTCTAACTTCCTTCCAGCTATTCTTATCTACAATTGGAAAGGGGCATAGTATACCCACTGAATGAGAGAAATTGTAGGACAAGGGTAAATGAGTTGAGGACAGAGGCCGTAAGATCAACAAAAGATAGATACCGCTAACCTAACATGTGGTTCCAATATACGAATGTATTAGAAAATACTTACAAACTCATATTGTAGTCAAATCCATTGCTTCGGTCAGACTTCCAGTACAGTCTTGCAAAGTCAGTAGTTGAAGGTCTGCATGGTTCTCATAATTTTTCAGTGAATATGTCCATGCTTTTTCAAGTGTGTATCAAAGCCTCTTCATTATTTTCCTGTAGCTCTCGTTATCTGACTAGGTATAGGGTTATGAATGTCTGTTTAGTTCTAAAAGTGATGAATTGTTTTGTGGAATTTTCACATAATTTACAGACTTTAAGTGACAGATAATTTCAATTCTCAAAATATTTCAAACTTGATCCCTAAACGTTTTTATAGATCAATGACAGGGCTGGAGAGACATAATATGAAATCTTCCTTCTTGAAGTTCTTGGTGGTGGATACACCAGCATACCCAAATGTTTAAAACGAAGTCAGTAGATTTTATGTTTTTACTTTATATCAGAGAGCTTATCCTAGTTTGAAAAACACAGTTGGGTTACTGCTAAATTGAGTACAAATGTATCCTTTTAATTTTGTTTAAAGGAGATAAACAAGAAGTACAAGATGTAGATACTGGTATTTACTAATAATCTATTCAGTTGCATTGTTCAGCTCCATAACATTGACAGAACCATCAACTGCTTAAGAGGCTCCTTTTCCAGAGCAATTATCCAGAGCTAAGAAAATTAACTGTGATTCTTCTTCATTAAATACCATTGACTGGGTCCAGTTAGCCCCATGGGCATAGAGGCCGTAATGTACACACAGAATTCAGCTAGTACAAGATCTTCCCTGTTCATTTCGGTATTTAAGGCATTGCTGGTATTATATGCAAAAATGCTCACAGACCTGCTCCACCCATTGGAGTGAAGTAAGTAATGTTCACATATACAGGCACTGCCATGTGCACACTGCATATTGATGAGGTTCTAGACTGGGATGCATTTCGCCATTTAGCTAGACATGGTACATTAAAATCTATTTTCTTTAGCCCTTATCCTGCTCTAGTCCAAACGTTTAGGGAGTGAATCTGCATGCAGAAATTGGGAACAATATGGTAATGCCTGTACCGTGCATGGGTGAAACTGCCATAAAAAATTAAGATAGCTGTTTTAAGCATTAATGTGCCACTTTTTCTTTCCCATAAAGTACAGTAATTTGTAGTGCAGATATTCTAAATTCTACTAGAAAAAGAATGGTCAGGAAAACATGCCCTTTAAACTCATTTTGCCAGGGAGATAGAAGTAAGGAAGCTGATAAGCTATCATTTTTTCTAGCTGCCGTTCAACTTTTTATGTATACACATTTCTGTGTATACAGAACCCTAGGGTTAAGAAGGGTTGTGCGTTAATTTTATTACCACATCCTAGCTTTATTTTTCAAAACGGACATCCATAAATGGGTGCTTGTAATTTAATTTGACTGCATGGCCCACATGTTAATATAGAAGGTATTACAAAGAAAAATATTATTATAATATAGGTTGAATCCTAGTCTGTAAAGAGGCTTGGTTTTAGTATTAATGTAAAGGAAATGGTAATGCTATATTCCAACTGCAGTCTAACTCTTGATTTAAACATTCCTCTTGTGTCTTTAAAAATAACTCTCGCGGTAGTTGCGTTTGTTTTGATATGTGGCTTTAATTAGGTGTACCTTGACAGTACTACAAGATCCAAATTTACCATGTTGCAAAAAGGGTAGATAAAATTTATGTAGCTGAGCTCTATTTTGCATTTAAACCTGAAGGCCAACATTCATGACAATTTTGTCCATTATAGTCTTTCTTCTTTTCTCCAGTCCAGTTCAGTTTTTCTGCCTTTTGTCCATTATGAAGTGGTCATACCATGACTGCTGTCATGGTCTCAAATTATAATTTTAGAGCAGTACTCAGCACACATTTTAAAGATTTGTTGCATTCAGTAATTCAGTCTGAGTCTATGGTCATTCTTGCATGACTGCTCCCTGATAGACAAATGCACCGTTGTATTTCAGGCTGAAATAAAATGGTTCATAAATAGCAGTGTGGTTATGAGAATTCATTGTGAGAGAATAATTGTCAGGCTTACAGGAAAATTCTCATTGAAGCTTTCAATGTTCCCTCATTGGGCCTAAATACAGTCATTTTAATATTCAGAAATCAGAGAAATCATTAAGACTTATTATAGCAGTGCCAAATATTTTTGTCTAATAGCCTGACATCAGTAGTTGATAATAAAGCAGTAATATACAGGGCACTTAAAATACCTACTTTTGTTTAAAAATTCAATAAAATTCTCATGACTACTGTGTGGAACAGTGCTCTGCAGGTATACTATTTCTAAAGGTTTTCTTTCCATTTCTATATAGATATTTTCCCTTCACATTTTGAAGGTTTGAAGAAGAGGATTGTTTTTCAAGTCACACTAAGTAAACATTAATTGCATGCAGGCTTAAAACTAAAGCATGCATGTTACGCAGCAGCAATAAAATTGCTCGGCTTGCACGATTTACGATGTTCAAGCACTGCCTTGTTAAAATGCCAAAATCCCCCCTTTTCTTTGCATCTTTAAAAAAGTTAAATTACATTTTACATTGCAACATTTAATTTTTCAGTCTTTGGACAAATTAGATTTATTTTAGCATATATTTCTGTGTTACAGATAAAGCTGATGAAATAGTGCCAGTTTCCAAGCCATCAAGAATTCCAGAAAATGCAGTTGTGGACTCCAGAGTGGCAACAATTAAACAACGACCTTCTAGTAGATGTTTTCCCTCAGCTACAGATATGAATGTGAGTAGTATCTATAATACATTTCCTTTGAATTGTGGGGCTTTGATTAAAGATTTTTCCAAATTCCTAATAGAAAAAAAGCTTTCATCTTCTTATTCTTTATGCTCTGATTTTAATTATTCTGACATGGCCATGACCACCTTCCATAATTATGATTCTTTGTGGAAAGGCTTGCTGAAGTATGCAAAAATCAACAGGAGTTAACGCTCTCTAAATGTAATGGGTTAGGCCACCCTTCCCCAACCTATTGATTTCCAAATGTGATCGGATGATAATTTCCAGTGTTCTCTGCCAACATTCATGCTGGTGGAGAATTCAGGAAATATATCAAATTATCCCAGAACTGTGGCCATCTTGCTCATCTTTGGCCTTGATTCTCTAGCAGGCTTTAATGTTCCCTTTTTCAGTAATTAAGGTGATCAGACAGCCGCTTCTCTATATAAGGCCTAGTTTCACAATTTAGTGTTTCCTGAGAGCTACATATCATCTACAGTTTACAAACTGATAGATCAAACTATGTAGTCTTTTTAATCAGACATTTTAGAAAAAAATGTGATTTTTAGACTTTTGAAGCAGATGTTTTTAGAGCCTTTTCCACCTAAGGGTTTTCCAGGTATTTTAGACTATAAATTACCTTAAGCGCATGCTTGCTGCAAATTATGGCATTTATAGTCTTGTTCAGTAACAGCTGCCTTTGTTATTGCTTCTTTACTCCTTTGCTTTTTTCTAGAAATGGTGTGGTAAGGGAAAGGAACAAGTTATTATTTCTTGCTCATCATCTCTTGAGAACCTTCACATGAAGATGATCCATAGTGTGTATTGAATTGGTTCTGGGGACTCTGCCGTGAAATACTAAAATATGCGATTAGCACCAAGCTTCTCTCTTAATTTCACCTTATTTTATGCAGCATTACAATAAAGAACATGGCAACATAACTGGAACTAAATAGCAGCAATATTTTTAAGAGACATATTTCATGGTACTCGTCCTCCCATGATCTTTTTTTTAACAAATGCTTCTATATTTGTAACTTTCAGTTCAATGCTATTCATTAATATTTGCTTGAAAGAAGCTCCTGTGTATACTTTGGGATTTACAGCATACCTCTAAATCAGATTTGAAGAGAACAGGAGGAGTAAATGATCTCTTTTGTGATAAAAAAAATCTACTCACCCTATACTGGATGTCATATTATCTCCTCTTAAACTGAGTAATCAAGTCATTCCTTTGTAATTAGAGATTTATTTTATTTGTTGATTTATATTAAATAAATTTATGCCACATGTTATCTAAGTGGAATCCAGCTGCCATGACTCTAGCAAATAAGGACCAGTTGTGCAGTGAAACACTGGAGCAAAAACAGAGCATGCTGTACCTAAGTTATAGAAGGACTGTATCTCAGTAATAAAAATCCATAGTACTGTATCTCCAGGCATAGCCAGGAACAGTCTTGTTCCAAAACCCCAGGTAATCACAGGAAATCAGTGTTAGAAATATTGAACTTGATGGTTTCATAGTCTGAGTTGGTATAAAGCAGTTCCCTAAGTGATTGATACCAACTACAGTTTATTTGTGAGCATAAACACATGGTTTTAATTATTAACCAAAGTAGTCATTAATATGTATTTATACCACACAATGTCCTTTTTCAGATCAGAACATCTATCCTTTCTTTAAAAAAGTATATTTGTAGTTGCTCTTTTCTGTCTTCATTTTTTTTCCTCAACATTCTTTTTTGGAACTGGATTAAAAAACATATTCAGACATGCAGTTCCATCCTGTTGCTATGGACAGACTTTGTTTGCAATACATTTTCTAGTTATGTACACTGCCAAAAAGATGAATTATCCATGTGAACTATGTGTGACTATAAAGTATGACTTCTGTAATGCACTCAGTCTCGGGCTGTCCTGAAATAAGTTTTAGGGCTTAGAGCTGATGCAGGATTGTCAGGCCACTTTTGTTTTGCTTCATCAGCATGTACAAAAGTTTTCTGTTGCTCTTGGGGCTTAATTCTAAGCAACGGGGAAAAAACTCTCTTAATACATAGCATTCAGTTATGTCCATCCTCCTTCCTTAAAATTAAATACAAGGATTCTGGGTCCACCCTAGATTTCTACATTTGAATAATAATAAGATTGGGTCAGATGCTGTTACTAAAAGTGATGTTTAATTTGACTATTGTGGCAGGATTTGGCACTTAGAAAGAGCCACAGAAAATTACCTAAATTCTCTTTGCTGCTTCTGGAATAAATATGTAGATTTAAAGTAAATTTAGAGAGGAATAGATTAATAGAGCAAAAGAGCATTTAGATGAGGAAAATAGAAGTTGTTATTTTTGGTAATCCCATCTTATTATCACTTGTCAGTATCTTGGATCTCAGTGATAATAAGTATCATAGCATCCTTTAGGAATGGCTTTCATAATGTGATTATGAAGAACTGAATTTCCCCAGAATTGGTTGGCTTCAATTTTACCACTAAACCTTGGCCATCACAGCAAGAGGAACCCAAGAGAATAGAAAGATTCCATTAGTCAAGGCTCACTTTGATTTCCTGAGTAATTTTGAAGCCACTTCTGGTAGTGCCCTATTTTTGTTGGAATAATCTGCCAATTCTTAATTTGATACACGTCTCCCTCTTCCTCTTCCTCCTCCTCCTCTTCTCTATTACTACTATTTTTATTTATGTTGAAACTGACATTTTTCTTGTTCCACTGTACTTGCAATGAGGCACCGTGTGGTCCTTTGCATTTGCGCGTATGTACAAGCGCTTATGGCCTCCAGAGTACTTTGTACTTTCTTCATATGTGCTATATCATAAAGTGAACAGATGTTGATAATTGCTTTTAGGGGAAGAATTGAGTTTTATGTCTGGACTAGAGGACAGCCACAAAACCTTCTTTAAAATTAAATCCAAAAAAATAAACTATTCTCAGGACACAGAATAAAACTGTACATCCCTGTCAGAAAACCATGAAAAATATTTCCCCCATGACTTCTATTGCAGTATTGATGAGACAAGTTGCACTTCAAACTGAAAAATGTGTGCAGATTCAACAGTACATGTGCAAGTGGTAGGATAACTATGGCTGGGCTGTTTGTAGCATTGTTCCTGAAGATATCTGAGGGTATTGTCAGCAAAACATTGCTGTGTGACAATGATTATAGGGCTAATCAAAAAGGTATAAAGAAGGGTCAGGAAAAGGATACCCAATTCTTTCTGTGCTTGCTGTTCTCTATTATTCATAACTGTGCATAAGTAGATTCTCTTGTGTATTACTAAAATATGAGTACTTACGAATTTTAAATTCTACTGGGAATTTCTCACTCAAATTTGGAAAGATATCCAGAATCAATGAGAAGTCCTTCTCTGAGATGGCAGAAAGCAGAAAAAAGCATTAGGTTCCTGCTTCTGAAACTAGCCTAATTAGACTTGATTCTACCCTAATCTTCAGATGGTGTTAAAGTTTCGGGATGGCAATGTATTACTGGATTACTTCTGGAGCTTAGTTGAACAGAATATTAAATATCTTGTAAAAGGGAGAGGCATGGAGATACAAGATTGCATCCTGCACTGTACTGCTTTTTCTCTTTCTCCTGTTATGGGGAATGAGTTTCTTTAAGTGTCTTCTAGGTCCACCACTACAGATGGCAGTAGACTGCTAAAAGCAAGAAATAAAGAGACTGTGGGTCAGATTCTTCATTTTTTTTTTTTTAAGTCACCAAACTCTTATGGGCAATTAATGACTCACAGATTTCAGTACTCTCATGGCCTGATGTGCACAGGTGACAGGCCAGCTACCAGGTTAATATACGACAAAGCTAAACATCTAGAAAGACCTTCCTGTGTTCCATCCTAGTTTCTGTATCTTTTTAGAAGGCAAAGCTCCCATTGAAGGCTCACATTAAGTTGACAATACAGCAGTGTCCTTTCCTTTTACCTCCTCCCTTGCAAAATAGGAATACTAGATAAAATTATTCATAATTCAAATAGCTTTTCCTTCTTCAAGTATCTAAAGATTCCTGCCTCTTTGTGCAGAGTGCTTTTTCACCACAGAAGAATTGGTGAGAATTTGTTCCTCACTTTCTTCTGAGTGAAGAAAGCAATTCTGTTCTTCATACAGGGGACTGAAACAAATGATTGTTTCTTTCTTCCTTCCATGCACTGTAAAGGTTTATAGAAGGGTGGACCTTTCCAGAAGGACGAAACATTTTGGCCAGAGTGGCAAGGCTTTGCATGATGGGCTTTTCCTCTCTGAAGCTTTGTCCCTGACATCATTCAGCAACTAGAGAATGGCGTGGTGACAATCTAGCCACTGGGGCAAATTTAGCTCCCCACTCCTGTTATAGGTCAGCAGGATGGACTTGGACCTGGACCATGTCATAGGATGGACTCAACGAAACAAATCCATTGAAGAAATACAGATGGTATCATGTAAACCACACCCTAAATGTCAAAGCATAATTTAAATATTATATATTATAGTCTTTTAACATTGTTATTACTTTTATTTTTTTAGTCCATGTATGAAAGACAAGGGATTGCTGTAATGCCACCTACAGTACCTGGAAGTCCTCAAGGCCCATTTCTGGGTGTTCCACGAGGTACAGTAAGAAGACAAAAATCAATAGGTAAGATACCTCGTAGACATATGTAAGGGATACTGCCTTCTTTTATAATAAATTCCTATTATATGAGAATATACTGTCCATCTGTAAACTTGACTGATAATTAGCTAGATTTTATATTTTTTTAAATGTCATAACAGATTATGATGATTATAACTTTAGTTAACACAACGGTGTTTATGTAAATAGTGCATCCCTGAAAGAACTAGTTTTTGGAGTTCGGCTGGAAAAAAATTATTCAACATCTTATGCTATATCTTTTCCTGATTAATACTTAACTTCTAAATGCTTCTTAACTTCTAAAGCATGAAATTTAGTATCTCATTCAACATTTACCAGCCTTAATGGATCAGTCCTTATAATGTTTGGATAAACATTTCACAATTCCTCTAAATTATCCTTTTTGTCATGCATTATGAATTGTTTTATTTTCTTTCATGCACAGCAACCTGTTCATAAATGGCCATAGTGCATAAATATATTTTTTTAAGTGCTTCTTTTTCTTTTTAAATTTGCATGATCTCTTTTTATGCATGCTTTAGAAAAAGAACAGCTGTCTGCAGGAATTTACAAGGTTCAGTACACATAAGAAAAATCAGAAGTTCATTGAATCAAGTTCTAATGCGGGGAAGTACTACAATAGGCATATAGAACTGTATGATGTACAGTATAAATAATATTATGTTTATTTTACATGTGATTATGTTGGATTGAAAAGAAAGAACAATTTAAACATTACAGCTTTTTTTTTAAGGGATAACAGAAGAAGAACGGCAATTTTTGGCTCCCCCCATGCTAAAATTTACTAGAAGTCTATCTATGCCAGATACTTCAGAAGATATTCCCCCTCCACCACAGTCTTTACCTCCATCACCACCACCTCCTTCTCCTTCTCTTTACAACTCTCCCAAATCTCCGGTATCTAGAATGTATGGCACAATTAAGCCTGCATTTAATCAGAATTCAGGTTCAAAGATAGCTGTTTCAGGTAGGTCTGAAAATATGGGGACAGTAATAAGAGACAAAGGCATATATTACCGGAGAGAAATGGACCGTTATTCTCTAGATTCTGAGGACTTATATAGCAGAAATGCCGCAACTCAGGCCAGCTTCAGAAACAAGAGAGGTCAGATGCCAGAGAATCCATACTCTGAAGTTGGAAAAATAGCAAGCAAAGCAGTGTATGTTCCAGCCAAGCCAGCCCGACGGAAGGGAATGTTAGTGAAACAGTCTAATGTTGAGGACAGCCCAGAAAAAACTTGCTCCATCCCAATTCCAACCATCATTGTTAAAGAGCCATCTACCAGCAGCAGTGGGAAAAGCAGTCAAGGAAGCAGTATGGAGATTGACCCCCAGTCTTCAGAGCAACCAGGGCAGCTCCGACCTGAAGATAGCTTGACGGTCAGTAGCCCGTTTGCAGCTGCCATTGCTGGAGCAGTGAGGGATAGGGAGAAAAGATTAGAAGCCAGGCGCAATTCTCCAGCTTTCCTTTCCACAGATTTAGGAGATGAGGATATTGGACTAACCCCTCCAACTCCACGTATGAGACAGTCTAAGTTTAGTGATGAGGGGCTATTTGGTAACGAAGATGGCTTCAGTCAGCTTGTATCGCCATCTCCTATCCCAGCACCTAGAGAGACTGAAAATATTTTTAATAGTAGTGAATCAAATAACCAAAATGATGCAAGGACACCAAACACTTCAGTTCAAACCACAGCGAGCTCTGAAAACAATGCATTGGCAGCCCAAAATACTGGTATGTCCGGTTTAGATAATTATGTTCATCCCCTGACAGGGAAATTACTGGACCCAAATTCCCCTTTAGCCCTTGCCCTTTCTGCCAGAGACAGAGCCATGAAAGAGCAAACCCAACCAGTTCCAGGGAAAGGAGACTCTAGCAAAGCAGATCTTAACAAACCCCTTTACATTGATACAAAGATGAAATCCCATATTGAAGCTCCATTTCCAGCAACAGCTACTATTGCTAGGCAAAATACACGTGGTCCACTAAGGCGACAGGAGACGGAGAATAAATATGAAACAGATGCAGCAAAAGAAAGGCGGTCCGAAGAGAAAAAGAACATGCTAATAAATATTGTGGATACCTCGCAACAAAAGTCAGCTGGTTTGCTCATGGTTCATACAGTGGACACAGCACAATCCAGCGATAACCCTGAAAATGAAGAGAAAAGTGCTGAGGTGGAGGTGAATATTGAAAAGCCTCCACCAGAGATGCCAGAAGAGACAGAAGCAGCAGAAAGTGGACTGGATGACTCTAGCATGCTTCCGCCACCGTCCCCTTCCCGCAAAACGATTGTAGCTGTTAGCTCCGTCGACGATCCGATCATTTTGCCATTTCGGATTCCTCCTCCCCCTTTAGCTTCTGTTGATCTTGATGAAGACTTTATCTTTACTGAGCCATTACCTCCTCCTTTAGAGTTTGCTAACAGTTTTGATATTCCTGATGAGCACTCAGTCCCAGCCTCTGCCTCTGCCCTAACAGACTTGGTCAAACAGAGAAAAAATGGAACTCTGCCTACTTCATTTAACCCCATTCAGCCCTCAAATTCATTAGACAGTAAGAAGTCAGGGGGTCTTTCAAACTGTTTGCCTCCCTCATTTTTGCCACCTCCTGAAAATTTTGATAATGTCACTGACTCTGGGATTGAAGAGGTGGACAGTCGAAGTAGTAGTGACCATCAACTAGAGACAACCAGCACTATCTCAACTGTGTCCAGCATCTCTACCTTGTCCTCTGAAGGTGGTGAGAACTTGGATACTTGTACAGTCTATGCAGATGGGCAAACATTTCTGGTGGACAAACCCCCAGTACCTCCTAAGCCAAAAATGAAGCCCATAATCAACAAAAGCAATGCACTTTACAAAGATGCGCTCATTGAAGAAACTGTGGATAGTTTTGTTATTCCTCCTCCAGCCCCGCCCCCTCCTCCAATCAGCGCACAGCCCAGTATGGCTAAAGTTGTACAGCAAAGGACCTCTAAGCTCTGGGGCGATGTAACAGAAATTAAAAGCCCAGTTCTCTCAGGCCCAAAGGCAAATGTTATTAGTGAATTGAACTCAATACTGCAGCAAATGAACAGAGAAAAATCCTCAAAGCCAGGAGAAGGATTGGAGTCACCTCCAGGGACAAAAGTTGCTAGTCTTAGCACAAGGTAAATGCAACGCCAAGGTTTTTAAAATGTTTCTATTGCTTGTGAGTTTGTACTTGTCTTGCTTTCAGTGCACACTGAAAAGTAATTGTGTTAAATAATATTTAAATACAGTGATTCCAATATGTTCAATTTTTCCATTCCTATCTATTGAAAAATTAAATGCATAATAATCTAGCCTTTTCCCTTATGTATTTAGTTAAATACAGCTAGAGATACAAAATATACAAGTAGAGACTGAGATCCTAAGGTTTAATTCCATGCATATGTCAATGTTTTTCTGATTCCTGCTACAATCCATCACACTTTCCAGAACCTATTCCTGAAAATCTAGATGCCCTTTGGAATAGCATGGAGTGATGTAAAGGATTGTAGGGAAAGGAAAGTATAATCCCATTTGAGCATATAGAAATATTTTCTGATCATACCTGGGAGTCTTTCATCCATTTTTTGTAAAGAACATTTATTTCTTAGCTATGCTATCTACTGCAAATTAACTCGTTTGAAATACCGGGTACCATATTTACAGCTTTGAAATGTTTGTTTTACAGTTGTAAGTACTTAAAAATACATACTTGCAGAAATAATCACAGCTTCCTTGCTTGCATGCTTGTTTGGTAAGGGACTGTATAAGTTTAACCAGTTCAGGTGCTTTAATATATACAATAGTTCAGGTACTTTAATATATACAATAGAAATGGGAGTTGAAGTAGTTGGGTTGAACTGTTTGGACAGGAGTAGTGGTGAAATCTGACACTTAGTCTTTTGTAGACTGGCCTGTTGTTGATAAGAAGGTAAACACTCGGTAGGTGTAACTTGTCAAACAGATTGAAATCATCTCTATTTTGAACATTTTATTTTATGGATAATTTTTCAAGCTGTAAAAAGCTTATTGAAGTTACAGACTTTGTAGAGACTTTGGAAAGGTCCATACATTTGATGATGACTGTCATCAGAACGTAGAGAAAGTATAACCCAAGGCAGAGGAATATTACATGAATGTATGAAAACAAAAACTCTGTACCCCAGGCTGATTTATTTGCAGTGTCCCAAGTGAATCTTTTACCAGATGGTGCCAAACATAAAATGGCAGAGAAGTAGCACAGATGCTCCTCCAGTTCCCTGTACATCTTATAGAAACACGCTACAGGAAGCCTATAAGTACAACTACTGAATTTTTATAACAGTTCATTTACCAAGTAAGGTGGAGGTCACAATTTTTAATGGCACCAATTCTAACTATACTTCACGGTCACTTTTCAATGTAGTGATGAGATGGATTATTCTACAGCGAGTTCCTGTGGTATATATTTATCTGTAACATAGTCTATAGCTTGTTGCAGATTTAACCTGCAACCTATAATTACACAATTATATCCTAATTTTTTTTTTAATCCAGGAACAGGATCCAAGAAGAGGTTATGTGGTTTAGAAAACTTGAGTTATGCTTTTCTGTAACAGGAACATCTAACTTATCTGTATACCATTCTGTAAAAGTTTGGATAGACTTTGGGCATCCACAAAATGAATACTTTGTCATCTACTATGATTTTCTTTAACCAAATAAATTATTGCTGGAAGAACAAATTCATACCATAATTAAATTAAACCCATAAAAGTTATGCATAAAAGAACAAATCTGTTAATTTTTGTCAGATTTATTTGAAAATGTGCCTCAAGAAATGAAGAAGTCTGATATCATCACAGTACGACTTTTGTTGAACTGATCCAGGCAGCAAAGTAAGAAAACTTGAGAGACCCCAGTGCCACTGCAGTGGAAAAAGCAGTTATTTCCCCCTACCTTTCTTCCCATTCCCCCAGATAAGCAAGTAAATGTTTAGTTTGCTTTTGAACCAGACAGTCGTCCTGCAGTGTAATAGTGCTAGATCCAGTGAAAAATGAGAATGTTAATAGAATAGAACCAGTGGCAATGAAGAAGGAAAGAAGACAGCAATGGCGCAATTTACAGCAGATATCGGCTCACTTTATCCTGCGTGTTGTAACTTACCATGGCTGCTTTGATAAGGGGACTAACAAAATTAACAGTAGTTACAAGGCTGAAAGTCTTAACTAAAATAGCATGTTTGGAGTAGAATTTTCCTCTCTCTTTGGTGTATTTCTAAATTTTAAATCCCTCAATATTTATATCATTTTGCTGCAATCAGGTAAGTTTTTTAACACTTTTATTGCTTTAAAGGAAGAAAGAAGATTTTAAAGGAACAAAAAATGAAGAGGAAAAAGAGACAAGAACATGTTATAATATGTATGGAAAGAAGTCTAGTTTTTAAATACAGCATTACATAGTGACCACATGGAATAATATTAACCAAGCTTTCTGTTACTTTGATACCCAGCCAGCACATATAATCAATTGAGAATTTTAAATTCAGGGTGGCACTGTCTTTCCATCATAAACCATTTTTTTTCCTAACCCCATGCTTGGTAAATCCTTTGTCCTTTATATTTGTGTATATTTATATTCCCATTTTAAGTATATATTTCAAATTATATATTTAAACCATATTGGGAAATACTGTATAAAAATAATAATTTTTTAGTTACCTTTGACTCAGTATCTGAAGTGGAATGTAAAAACAATCAAAAGATTGCTGGTTTATTACATCATAATCATTGTATACTTTACCCTGAGCATCCTTGATAGTAGAAATAATATTGCTTTGTTGTACTTGTTTCAATCAAGAAGCCAATAATTTACCAGACCTTTCTACTTATTCTGAATATCTCTGCTTTATGCAATTTAGTGTATGTTCTGTACTGAGTGCATAAAGGGAATTAAGTTCCTGTTTAGCAGGCATAAAACTTTGTATAATTACTGTGTAGGTTGTCTTACATATGTACTGAGAAGTTCCTTAATGTCTTGCTTCATCTGTTTTATAAAAGTGGCTATTTTAGTAATGATGCATTTAAATGCCATCTTGAATAATTAGGATTACTTTTTCTTATAGTAATTGACAAAACTACTGCTGCATGAACAGTTATTGCAGTAGAGCCTATATAGCTTTTATCTAACTCTTCAACTAAAGATTGATATGCTAAAAAATAATCAAGTCAGGAACAAATCTGGTGTGAAGTTGTAAAAAAAGCATATGTTTGCTGTGAAGGATTTAAGTCACCATATATCTACCAAATTAAACTCCAGCATATAAACTTGTAGCACTTTCTATGTGCAAAGATTATGTTTAGCTGGAACAAGCAAATGAAATATCTAAAACTTGATTAAAATCTTCAGACATAGCTACCTGATCCACAGGTAAAGTAAAAAGATATTCAGAATACTTGTGTAAGGTGAATGTAATCAAGATCAAGTTGTTACTGATTCTGTGGGCAAATCTGAGAAGGGTGGGGGTATACCTGTTCTGAGTGGGGTTGCAGTCTCCCTTAAGGAGCAGATTTGCAGCCTAGTGGAGTATATGGGTCCAATGCCAATGCTGGACCGTCACTAAAGCATTGGTGGCAAGGATGGTCCTTTCTCTATAATGGCCGATTAATGGCTTACCTGGTGGAAAGAGACATGGCATAGCCTTACCCCAAGATAAAACAGCTTTAGTGTTTGCTGGCTGCTACCAGTGCTGAAACATTTTGTAATGCACTTTCCCATAGCATTTTTTTTTATATTGTTTGCATTCTGGTAAGTCTTTCCAATTTGGCAGCCACATGTCAGATAATTAACTAAATAGTGTATAAAGTCTTACATAGCCGCAACCAAGTTAGAAGACTGCCCAGTCTTGTTTAATCTTCACTGCACTCTTGGGCCAGTGGCAGGACACTATTTGGACAGGTCCTGCCTCAGTTATATTTGGCATCAACCATTAACTGAGCAGGCCCATAACGTGGCAGAGGGCTCACATTATGGAAGGCATGCCAATAGGGTTGAAGCAAGCCCTCTATTCACTACAGTTTAGAAAGGGACTCAAACATATTTCTCCAGACCTTTTAATATTTCTGTTTTAGTGTTTCTATTTCATCTCTGTTGCATTTTAACGTTTTTTATAAATACCTTTGCTGTTCCTTGAAAGCAACCCAGTTCTATTAATGAAGTGTTTTGGCATATAGTTTTCTATGTAAATAAATGAGAACCTGCTGTGGAAATGGGTTTTAAGAAATATTGGGTGGGGGATATATATAGCACTGAAGAAATGAAAGCAATTTGGAGTAAAGGAATAGGAGGAATGTACCAATTAGCAGAAAGGAAACGAACTGTTTAAGGATGACAAAAGATCAGAGAGCCCATAGACAGAATCAAAGGCCATGCAGTTAGTGGGAGTATAGCTCTTCCCAAACCAGTACACTCCAGATGTATTGAAATTACAGTTCCTCAAATTCCTAGCTAATGTGACCATTGGAAAGGAAATTTGCATGAAAAGATAAAGAGTAGAGGATAGCAGATAACACATGGCTTGTTTAATAGGCTCTTCTGAATGAACTCTGGAAGACTATGAGAGTATCAGTTGCTATTCTTAGCTACTTGAAAGAAAGCACATTTTATAAATAAAGTTTCCCCTGACATATAAAAACTTAAAAGGGAAATAGCTAGGAGTATTTAATATTACGTTATAAGTGCCCAGGGTTAACCCTGTCAGGAGGGTCTCCTGCTTACTTCCCTGCCAATTAAAAATGTTGGCTAGAACCACCTGGACACAGTGCTGTACTTTGCTTAGTTGTAGAATTTGAGTGGCTATGGCTGGTACTTACTAGTTTAATTCTCCCACAAAGCATTTGGGGAATGAGATAGTGTAACTACACTAAGAGCAATGTGGGAGAATTAGAAAGCAGATCTAGCCATAGCTAGTTTAGATTTTTTTTGGTGACTGGTATCCCAGCCTACAGCACCAAGGAGAAGGGACAGTGTTGCTGTCAAAGAGGTCACTGGCATATGACAGCCCCAAAACCTGATGCTGATTCTGTTACTGTTAATATAATAATCCTAATGGATATTGTATTGGTGCAGTGATTGATACATTAACCTCAATGCAGTTGCAGAA